TTTTAAAAAATTTTTAACATACCAACAGATTTAAACATGAGCAAAATGAAACTTCTTAAGCATTTTAACCTACGGTATAGCTTAAACGTGCAAAAACATTTTCGTTAAATATGCAAAAAATAATACGTTGAAAAAACTCAAACATGCAAAAATAGGGACTTTTTAAATATGTCAACATAGGGACTTCTTATACATGTGTCACGTGAAACGCCAATTAAATAATAGATAGATAGATAAGGAGAAGCCGCTTCTGCAGGAAAAATTCCCGCAACCGCTTCTTTCGATTGAACGTTTCATCTCGAATTTGATAGGGAAGTTTTCAAGAAAAACCATGAAGTTCGTAACGCAAGCGTAAACAGTTCCTGGTCAGATTCAAACCCACGACCTTTGCCGTACCAGGCATTTTTTCACTTCCAGGCTAAATGCCGGACACGCATAGAAGTTTGAATTCGTTATGATTCAAGATACAAGTGATTCTGTTCAACCAGTTGTTAACCAGAAAAACGTCTACATTCCGGTTTAATAACGGTTGCTAATCGCAGGCGTAAACATCTTGAACTGAATTTATTTCACTTCAATCTGATTGACTGCAATTTGCCAATCAAACTTCAGCACCATCACAATAAAAAACTGTTCACAACTATAAGTCGATTTATAATAACGCCTATTTAAACAAAAATAAAAATTATTTGGAAAACTATTCAATTTTTTTTTCTCACATAAGCAGCAGAGTTTTACCCAGACCAGAAAAAATACAGAAAATATCTCGAAAAAATGAGATTCTTTTTTTTTACATAACCTTAACCTCACATAACCTTCACATCTGCTTAAAATTTGGCCTTGTAAGAAATCGTCTAGAGAATAAGTGATCGCATTTGTAATAACCAAACCAATCAGTGCAATCCGATTTTTTTATGCATTTATACATTTGAATACTACTAAATCGCAAATAAGGAAACTTAAGTTTCATTTATTCATATATCGGGGAAATTTCAGGGTTTAGAAGTTTATTTAATCGTCCGTAAAACAACCAAAGTTAGTAAATTACTAACGTTTTAGCTTATACTTAAGATAGGTAAAGCGATCGACTAGTTATTTATGTTTCAAGAATTTCCATGTTTGCTCGACCTCTTAGTAATGAACTGAACAGAACTAGTTCATAAATTGTGATAAACGGCGTTTACAAGAAAAGAGTGTTTTCTTGTTTCGAATTCACTAAGGTCACGCTATTCCAGAAAAAGTGAACTTCTTTTATTTATACGTGGAAATAAACTTTGGCTTTAAAAGTAAAAATAGGTTGAATCTTAGTTGTGATATAGTTCAACATGGTTTCTGCTGAATTGGATCACGTGGAAATGCTTGGTAACCTTTCTCAGGATAAAAGATGCATAATCATTTATTTGAAATTCGTGACGGAGATGGCGGCGGCGGTTGTTAAATAATCAGCATTATGCTCGAATAAAAACCATCATACATACCGTCGTCTGCTGAAAAAGGAATAGGAGAAAGAGTTATTCCTGGTATCACGGCTGCGCAAAATTTGAACTAAAAAGATGCGTTTCAGCGGTCAAAGTATGATTTAAATATTAACGTATACATTGATTTCCTGCCACTGAACTGTTTTCAGTCTCTATTTTCCGCTTATTTGAACTAGAAATACGAGGAAATTTCACTTTTCATTTCATTTAATTTGGTTCAGAATTGGAGTAAATAAAAAAAAAGAATGTTGGCCACTACGTCAATTTCTTAATTCTCTCACATATATAAACAAAGTGATAAAACAGTGATGGATAGATGAAGATATAGAAGAAACAATATCTAAATCCGTCGAGAACACTATGTACAATATTAGAACCCTCGCAAAGTACCCAGCGAAGCGCACCTAATACCTGAGATAGAATTTTTTTTACTTCTCCTGGCCGAAGAGCGCAATTTAAAATAACAAATTAAACAGTAAAGCCAAGATATTACATGGGCGACTAACACTCTACACGAATCAAGATAGCTCCGATTATGTATGTTCAGTGTTGGCGCCCACTAACTCTGTCTAATCAGCATATGTGCATACAGGGAATAGGAATAGAGATGAGTTTTTTCTGTGGTATGTTAACTGTAGTACTATATACTCTAGCTAACTGAATGAGTAGGACGACTATAGCAGTCAACTACAGTTGGATATGAGTTTGTCGGCCACGAGAGCCGAGGAGGATTTGAAGTCGCACAGCTTCTGAGAGGTCATCAGTCCCATTCCCACAATCGCCGCCTGCTCGGGAGAAGTGGAGGAGGGTAGAAACTTAGACACATTACTTGTCGTTGTTGTGGAATTAATTGGATCTACTGGCAGTAACTTGCCGCCTGCCACCGATGCAGCAGGGTTCTTCAGAATAAGAAAGGGCGGCTGGGCTTTTCTCACAGCAGTGTACAGTGACTTTTCTGCCGCGTCCAGTTCAGGCGGCCTGTCCGGGAAAAATTTGTAGAATTTCGGAACCCCATTCTTCGCTAAAGGCACATAATGATTCAAATTGCGATGGTTATTTACTATAACCTCCGTTTTACGCGATAGACGAGTTACATTTCCAAATTTTACCGGTTCAGCGCTACCTATTGTCGATATGAATGAGTTGTCTTTTTGGTGATTCCCGAGTGAGAAGCCGTTCTCTTTCAAAAACCCGTTAGTTGCCAAGGACTTGCTTGGGGAATGTGTATTCAACTGGGTTTTGGGCGGCGTTTTGGTCATTAAGTTGTACGGTTTCAGATACCCCGTACTTCCGATGTCCACTACTTTGCCACTATCGTCGAATAGTTGCTGGGGTGTTACTCCTGTCTTTCTCAAAGCATCAAGGTCCAAAGTCTCTCGGTCAACCTTCGAAACAATATACACATCATTTCCAGGTGCCTTGCTCTCGTGAGCGCCTAACGATTCAATGATATTGGACACTATGCTTTCAGGAATTGCTCTGGACCGAGATCTTCGAATACGGTGAAGTTCCTTCGATAATAGACCAAAAAAAGAAAAAATCATAAAAAACGCAATTTCTCGAAAACCAAAAAGACTTGAGCAGTCATACTTGGACGCCAGATTCGCAAACCCTGAGTATACCCTGATATCACCCCAATATAGGGTTGAGAAATTCAAGTTCGGTTGGTTTTTTATTTCTAGTTTTCGAAAAAAAAATTAAAAAATCATAAAAGCGCCATATCTCGAACAATATAAGGATTTGAGCAGTCATACTTGAACGCCAGATTTTCAACCCCTAAATGCACCCTAGGAGCACCCCACTATAAAGAAATGTATAGAATGTGTGTGTATATAAAATTTTTAAAAATTTTTTAACATACCAACAGATTTAAACATGAGCAAAATGAAACTTCTTAAGCATTTTAACCTACGGTATAGCTTAAACGTGCAAAAACATTTTCGTTAAATATGCAAAAAATAATACGTTGAAAAAACTCAAACATGCAAAAATAGGGACTTTTTAAATATGTCAACATAGGGACTTCTTATACATGTGTCACGTGAAACGCCAATTAAATAATAGATAGATAGATAAGGAGAAGCCGCTTCTGCAGGAAAAATTTGCGCAACCGCTTCTTTCGATTGAACGTTTCATCTCGAATTTGATAGGGAAGTTTTCAAGAAAAACCATGAAGTTCGTAACGAAAGCGTAAACAGTTCCTGGTCAGATTCAAACCCACGACCTTTGCCGTACCAGGCATTTTTTCACTTCCAGGCTAAATGCCGGACACGCATAGAAGTTTGAATTCGTTATGATTCAAGATACAAGTGATTCTGTTCAACCAGTTGTTAACCAGAAAAACGTCTACATTCCGGTTTAATAACAGTTGCTAATCGCAGGCGTAAACATCTTGAACTGAATTTATTTCACTTCAATCTGATTGACTGCAATTTGCCAATCAAACTTCAGCACCATCACAATAAAAAACTGTTCACAACTATAAGTCGATTTATAATAACGCCTATTTAAACAAAAATAAAAATTATTTGGAAAACTATTCAATTTTTTTTCTCACATAAGCAGCAGAGTTTTACCCAGACCAGAAAAATTACAGAAAATATCTCGAAAAAATGAGATTCTTTTTTTTTCACATAACCTTAACCTCACATAACCTTCACATCTGCTTAAAATTTGGCCTTGTAAGAAATCGACTAGAGAATAAGTGATCGCATTTGTAATAACCAAACCAATCAGTGCAATCCGATTTTTTATGCATTTATACATTTGAATACTACCAAATCGCAAATAAGGAAACTTAAGTTTCATTTATTCATATATCGGGGAAATTTCAGGGTTTAGAAGTTTATTTAATCGTCCGTAAAACAACCAAAGTTAGTAAATTACTAACGTTTTAGCTTATACTTAAGATAGGTAAAGCGATCGACTAGTTATTTATGTTTCAAGAATTTCCATGTTTGCTCGGCGACTTAGTAATGAACTGAACAGAACTAGTTCATAAATTGTGATAAACGGCGTTTACAAGAAAAGAGTGTTTTCTTGTTTCGAATTCACTAAGGTCACGCTATTCCAGAAAAAGTGAACTTCTTTTATTTATTGAAACGTGGAAATAAACTTTGGCTTTAAAAGTAAAAATAGGTTGAATCTTAGCTGTGATATAGTTCAACATGGTTTCTGCTGAATTGGATCACGTGGAAATGCTTGGTAACCTTTCTCAGGATAAAAAATGCATAATCATTTATTTGAAATTCGTGACGGAGATGGCGGCGGCGGTTGTTAAATAATCAGCATTATGCTCGAATAAAAACCATCATACATACCGTCGTCTGCTGAAAAAGGAATAGGAGAAAGAGTTATTCCTGGTATCACGGCTGCGCAAAATTTGAACTAAAAAAATGCGTTTCAGCGGTCAAAGTATGATTTAAATATTAACGTATACATTGATTTCCTGCCACTGAACTGTTTTCAGTCTCTATTTTCCGCTTATTTGAACTAGAAATACGAGGAAATTTCACTTTTCATTTCATTTAATTTGGTTCAGAATTGGAGTAAATAAAAAACAAGAATGTTGGCCACTACGTCAATTTCTTAATTCTCTCACATATATAAACAAAGTGATAAAACAGTGATGGATAGATGAAGATATAAAAGAAACAAAATCTAAATACGTCGAGAACACTATGTACAATATTAGAACCTTCGCAAAGTACCCAGCGAAGCGCACCTAATACCTGAGATAGAATTTTTTTACTTCTCCTGGCCGAAGAGCGCAATTTAAAATAACAAATTAAACAGTAAAGCCAAGATATTACATGGGCGACTAACACTCTACACGAATCGAGATAGCTCCGATTATGTATGTTCAGTGTTGGCGCCCACTAACTCTGTCTAATCAGCATATGTGCATACAGGGAATAGGAATAGAGATGAGTTTTTTCTGTGGTATGTTAACTGTAGTACTATATACTCTAGCTAACTGAATGAGTAGGACGACTATAGCAGTCAACTACAGTTGGATATGAGTTTGTCGGCCACGAGAGCCGAGGAGGATTTGAAGTCGCACAGCTTCTGAGAGGTCATCAGTCCCATTCCCACAATCGCCGCCTGCTCGGGAGAAGTGGAGGAGGGTAGAAACTTCGACACATTACTTGTCGTTGTTGTGGAATTAATTGGATCTACTGGCAGTAACTTGCCGCCTGCCACCGATGCAGCAGGGTTCTTCAGAATAAGAAAGGGCGGCTGGGCTTTGCTCACAGCAGTGTACAGTGACTTTTCTGCCGCGTCCAGTTCAGGCGGCCTGTCCGGGAAAAATTTGTAGAATTTCGGAACCCCATTCTTCGCTAAAGGCACATAATGATTCAAATTGCGATGGTTATTTACTATAACCTCCGTTTTACGCGATAGACGAGTTACATTTCCAAATTTTACCGGTTCAGCGCTACCTATTGTCGATATGAATGAGTTGTCTTTTTGGTGATTCCCGAGTGAGAAGCCGTTCTCTTTCAAAAACCCGTTAGTTGCCAAGGACTTGCTTGGGGAATGTGTATTCAACTGGGTTTTGGGCGGCGTTTTGGTCATTAAGTTGTACGGTTTCAGATACCCCGTACTTCCGATGTCCACTACTTTGCCACTATCGTCGAATAGTTGCTGGGGTGTTACTCCTGTCTTTCTCAAAGCATCAAGGTCCAAAGTCTCTCGGTCAACCTTCGAAACAATATACACATCATTTCCAGGTGCCTTGCTCTCGTGAGCGCCTAACGATTCAATGATATTGGACACTATGCTTTCAGGAATTGCACTGGACCGAGATCTTCGAATACGGTGAAGTTCCTTCGATAATAGACCAAAAATTTGATTCACCTTTTTCTTCGCACTCAGTTTTCGTGACATCGGTACATTGGACCTCTTTTGTGTTAGGTCCAAAGTTTTCGGCAACTTGCCCTCATCTGCGCGATCCCTGACACTAAAGATGTCGGAATCCTGATAGTTATGACTGTGGAACCCCCTCGTTTTAGTGAAACTTGAACTCTCCATCATCAGTGTCTGTAGTAGGTTGTTAGTTCCCGAATCCTCCTCCATGATTGCTTCATGGTCAAATTTACCGCACTTCCTTGCCGGCGACTCTAAAAATAAAAACTTATATTATTATGAAACTATCTTAAAATTCGATTCGATTGGAGAAATACCTTCTTCGTAGAATCTTAATATTAGTTTTTCTATAAGTACTTTTTTGCGGAAAAGCAGTCTTCACAACCTGACTTAAATTTTGATCAGACATAGCTAGGCTAAAAGTAACGATGTTTAGAAAAAAATAATCCACAAAACATGGAGGACAATTTTTTTGGCGCTCATCGATTCGAGAAATAAATATTCTCCCAAACACAAAAGTTTTAAATAGTCAAAAAAGCCAAAAACTACCGATCATTTTAAACATTTTTTCAAATGTTATTCGATTTGCAATTCAATTTAGAGAGCTTTTCTAGGATACCTGCGATTTTCTACAGCGCTTCTTCGGGATAAAAGATTTGGGAGGGAACCTCGCCGAATCCGAAGTTACTCTAATTCTCATCAAATGAGCTGGTTAGAAAATGATAATATGAAGAGAGGCGATGCGGTGAATCATGAGCTTTGCTTTATGACGCATCATTTCACAAGTACACGCACAAAAGAGCGTTGCTTCAGCAACACATCATTGCACAAGCAGAAGCACAAAAAATTGCAATTCGGAAAGTAAACCGACTGAGGTTAAGTCGAAAATCAAGAAGCCGATAATCATCGGCAAAGTTAAAATAATGCTAATCAAGAAGCCGATAATCATCGGCAAAGTTAAAATATCAATAATCCTAAGAAAGCTAGATAAATATTCAGGAGGAATTACATTTGATCGATAAAAAAACGAAAAAAAAGCCAAAAACAGTTGAAACAAAAACCATTAAGCCGAAAAATTGTAAGATCTAATTAGGACCATGCTGAGATTTGAACCCCAGACATTTGTAATATCAAGCAGAGCTTCCTCCCACTTGCGATAAAACAGAAACATAGCATGGCAAGCTAAGCGAGTCGCAGATAAACCTGATTACAAAAAACTAAGCTATGAATTAATTAGAAAAATCGGGGTCTTCAAATCGGCGATAATCCAAACGGAAACCTTTCAAGCCAAAACAAGTGAAAATGAGAACTGATTTAAACAAAATACGAATTCATTGTCGATGTCCCGCACGCGTAGTTATTGTTTAACTATAGCTAAAAGACAGTTGAAAAAGTGTCAGTTAAACTCAAGAAAATCGAAAAAAAATGATCAATTTTTCTTGAACAATTTCAATTCAGAAAAATATCACGTTGAAGCTGTTTTAATTCAAGAATCGTTTATGGTTGACATTTCTGTCATAAAACCAATCCAATAAGATAGAAATGAGACAAAATATAATTTTATCTTCCACTTGAGATTTATATGAATAAAGGCTATTTTTGACACTTTTTAAAATTCACTCGAAATAATTATGACAAAATCAAAAAATCAATTTTTGAGTGAACTTATTGACTTTCCAGGATAAATCACTTCGGACATAGGGTTTCAAAAATAATATCCATTCATCGACACATGCGAAGTAATACGTCAGAAAAAGATACTCAAGAAAATCTAAGGATTTATAAAAACGACGAAAAGAAGGCTTTATTATACAACCCACCCAATAAGAGAAAACTGAATCTCATTAGGTACTTTTTCTGTTTTGCTGGTACTTCATTAAAAAAGAAATTCATTTTTGAAACTAACAGTTATTCACAAGTATTGCGCCATTTGTACTTTTCTATAATAAAGCGTAATATGCGTAACATGCGTTTTCAAATTAAACCGCAAAAGACGAACCTCAAAAAATAACAATTTTGAGCAAAAATAACATTTAAAGACTCTTTCTGGATATGCGATAAATTAAATTTATCTTCAACTTAAATAATCTCCATTCATTGACACAGAGGCGAAGTTGCTCGTCTAGAAAATAAACTCCAGTGATGGTCTCAGAAGCTAAGTTGCAAATCAGAAACATAAGCAAAAAATCGAAAATTAGCAAAAAAAGAAGTGAAAATTTTTCACACAGAGTTGAAGCTGCGATTCGCAACACTTGCGATTCAAAAGAAATCTGAAAAACGAAATGGAAAAATTACTTGAAAAAATAACTTGAAAAAGATAAAGCTAAAAAAACTTCATAGATGCATAGAAAAAGTACATAAACAGCCATAAAAAAGAATTGAAAACTAATAAACCAGCGACATCAAATTTTGATGTCGAAAACAAAACTGTTGTCATAAAAAATTTCATCCGATCCAAACAAACACAATCGCATACGAAAATTTTTGCCCTCGGAATTATGCCATGTAAGTTGACTGAACCGATACAAGATAAACTGAAACTGTTGAAACATTTAAGCACAGAGGCGAAGCGGAGCTTCGCACCTCTTGCGATACAACAGAAGCATCAATAATGAAAAAAAAAGTTAAAAAATAGCTGAACCAAAATTTTCGTATAACTCGATGAAGGACACCTAGGGCCCAGCTAAAGCTGGATGTACGTGTTTGATATTTGTTGAATTTGGTATAATGATGCGGTACAAAAAGCGTGATTTCAAAAAATGAACTTTGCGCAAAACCTTAGTTGTTTCTCTTCTAAATCAAAAAAGAGTGAAAATTTGCGATTTCGGAACGTTTCCAAAGATATAATATTCCTTACAAAAAAACAGTAAATTGCCTTTTCTGCAGCGAAATTTCGCGCAACCGCTTCTTTCGATTGAACTTTTCATCACAGATTTCTAAAATACTATAAGAAAAATCAACTTTCCGAAATCTGTAATTTTGTTCAGCCAAAACAAGGTCGTGGCCGATAAACAGGAGAATGTTGCCCAAAATCGGTTTCTCAATTAAACACTTAACCTGAGTATTGGCACGATAATAGACTTTACTTTAAAGTCACAAAACTTCCAAAAAAAGGTCAAAGTTTCAAAACTGTCACTTGTTTGAGTGCCATAACTTTAATTCAAAAAACTGGTCGTAGCAAATTACAAAAGTAAGCTTTCAACAACCTGTTAAGTTGATTAACCTATGGTATCAAATTTCTCAGGATAGGTATCTAGTCCAAAAATCGGTCAACAAATCAGTTAGCGGATATTTCGAGAATCATAGCTTTTTAATTAAAAAATGGCGCGTAGCCGCTTATGCAGAAGAAATTTGCTCAACCTGTTATTTCGATCGAACCCAAAAACCCAGGTTTGGCAGGGCACTTATGCAGGATGAACATCAGGTTCGGGAGGCCAGTTTTCGTGAAAACGCAAAAAAAAAAAAAAAACGGTGAATTTCACTATTCCGAGGGCCAAAATTTTTTTGTTAAAAGGCTTGGGCGTAGCTGCTTATGCAGGTGAGCTTTCACATCCACTCTATTCATTGAAATTTACAGGTAGGTTAGTTTTTGAGAACAAAAAATCAAAAATGTCGGTCAAATATTCCCCCAGTCTATAGATGAAAGCTATTATAGACATAGCGATCAAGCAACAGGAGACCAGGCGAGTGTGCAAGCACACATGATTGTAGGCCGTCCTTCTATAGAAACCACTTTTATTGATATCGGTAAAAGGATTTTTAGAAAAAAAAACCTACGTTTTTTTTGCGAAAAGTGATAATTTTTTCCAAAGCTTCTCAAAAAACCCAATCCCTAACATTTTCATAGTAGCTGTGTTTATCGAAGAGAAACTCTAGGCAAACATGCCAAGCAAGGCATTCGAAATCAACTTCAAAACTGAAGTTTAACCAAGCGGAAACAATGCCGACAACCTTTGAGCCGAAAAAAAAAACAGATTTTGTTTAAAATTTTTGAAAGGTTCAAGTACTCTTTGAAATTACCCTATAATAACTAGTACCCAATCGGTAGTTAAAATTAAATTTTTTGACATGCGCAGCAGCATGTAAGCTGCATAGCAGCATCATAAGTGATTCTGTTAACAAGTTATTAACCCGAAAAACAGTCTATATTCCCAATTGATAACGCTTGCTAATCGCAAGCGTAAAAAGAAACGGAAAAGTAAATCCAAAAACAGACTTGGTAAATTTACAAATTACTGAAACTTCAGTTATAGCAAAAAACTATTCAAATTCAAACTCGGAAAATGTAAAACAAAAAACGGAAATGCAAAAAACGGAAAATAAACAGACAAAAACTAGGACGAAATCCACGAACCCGAAAAAATTGAGAAATTTTCTTGAAAAAAAAAATTACAACCTTAAACCTGGCTTTACCAAACTACAACTTAAATTAGAGTAGTTCCATTTAAATTTTGGAGAAACGGAGCAAGCCAGAAAAAGAAAGAGTCCAGGAGATGAATTGAGTCCTGTGAACAAAGTTGTTTACGGGAAAAGTCTAGTACCCGATTGCAATACTATTGAAACTAGTGGTCATTCACCTTATTTTGGGTCATTAAATTGAATCGATTCGCACCCACAGAAATCTGCCATCACAAAAATTCAGACGAAAAAATGCTGAACAAATGCGTTTTTGATTGTGATTCTAATAATTTTTCTTGAAACTAAAATAACACAACATAGCCAACAAGCAGTTGGAAAAAAGTCAATGAACGCAAAGAAGCAGAAGAAAACTCACTAGTTTTTTAAAGAACTAAAACTACTTTTAAAATTCATAACAAATTGGAGAAAACTGGATTACAAGGAAAATTTTTTAATTCCACTGGAAAATCTGAAAATAAAATTCCACTTTTGAAACTAGAAATCGATCATGTTTTTTCACACCAGTTCAGCTTTCATAATTGGATAGTGCATTTTGCCTATCTTCCAGCAAATGAACTTGAATTGAACACAAAAATTGCAAATATACCTAAGGGCATTCATATGTTCATGTGTGACACATTCTCAAAATATAATACATTAGACTCGAACACCCTTCACGCGGCCGTTACATTTGATTGCCAGAATTAACGAATACCTGGACAAAATCTGCGGCACACGAAAAAGGAGAAGAGCTTAATCATGTGGACGTCGACGAAATGGACGTCGACGAAAGAGCTGGTCGATAGAGGCCGAAGCCTATAGACCAGAATTGAACTTGTGAACTTGTGAAAAATATACGAAAAAGAAAACAGTCTTTTTTCGATATTCATGTGATGGAGTACAGGTGCTTCTTGAGTCCTGTAATTATTTACTTTTTCTCATCATTGCTATTTTGAAGTAGAAAATTGAAATAACACCTACGAATCAAATCTGGCAGTATGAGTTGAAAAGGTTTCAAGCTCTTCTAATACCTGACAAACAAAGAGTTTTTAATTAATATTGCCTGCACAATGCAAAAAATATAGCTGGAGATTAACTTGGAGATTTCGTTAGCTTATTTGGAGCGCTGTTTCAGCAAAGCCATTCAAGACAACATTACCAGAAGAATGCAAAACAAGATAAATCGACTTTTACCTGAAGACATCGTCGGCTTGTTCGGAGTGCTATTTCATGAACCTGAAACCAATGAAATTACTGCATTTTATTCACTTACAACAATCAGAAAGTCGAAAGTATCATAGTAACCGAGGTTACAGTCAGGAGTCCCTTCACCACATAATCCAGTGAAAATCCTCGAAATTTTCTAGATATGGAAGAATGAACTATAATGTGGATAGAAGTAAAGAGAATCAGATGATTGGGAATCAAGATAACCAGATTGAGAAATTTAACACCTGCACAGAATAACCCGGAGTTGAAAATGACAAAAAGACTTATCAGATATGAGGTTACGCGTCTATCATATAGTTATATAAAGCTGCGCTCTTGTTCACTTGAATACATAAACAAAAAAATTTCTTCAAAAGTAGTTTTTATTAATGTAACAGTCGCCTACTTCGGTCACATATGAGGCTTAAGAAAAAAAGGCCCTATAACCATTGGCTCAAGAGTCAGGGACACTATCTCTTGTGTTTTTCTACCTCAAGAACGGTCGGAGCCAATTCGGTTCACTTGCGACATGAGACTAGAACCCATTACAGCTTAAAGGCTACTACCAAAATATCCCCCCACTCTAGAAAATAAGAACGTCCCCACACTTAGGTCTCGAGATACCCAAAATACACGAACGCCGTTAAAAGCAGGGTCGGAACAATCCGTTAAGTTACTTTTTATTGGACAGTGGAACTTTGATCCATTTCAGATGGATCAACCTAAAACTCGCCTTATCTCAACATAACAATCATAAAACACACTCGAGAAAACTAAATTGGGAACTCACATGTTGACGCACTCGAGTATAAGGAGTAATTAAATTAATGAGCAACTCGAGAATTAAATGATAACTTGATAATATCAATACTAATCAGTTTTAATAACAGAAATAAAATTAGACTCTAGAATTGAAGTTTTATTCTGAAGCATTGGGACACTCCAGCTGTCCACCTTTCCGTTGAAGGTTCACTCTGGTTCAGTTTGAATAATTGCTCTCTTCTCTCGTGATTATCTCGCCTCCTATTTCAGGATAAGACGGCTCTCCTCGTGTCTTATTTTATATCTGGAAATTGCGAATAGCAATTTCCTGCTGTTTTCTTAAGTATTTTCCCGCAATTGTAAATTCGGTCGTTCTGATTTTTCACTTTGTGTTTTCAGTTGTTGCGAGAAAACTGAGCATGACAGGCTCCATTCGAAATTTTGAAAAATAAAACTTCACTCCAAAATCACGTATTTTCGTATCCCTCAAGGTCAAACTTCCAGATATGACCGACTGGCACATACTCCCCGGACTCAAGAACGATGTCCTTATCGCGTGCTGCCTCTGTCAGTGAATCCCCAGAAACCCGAGTGTCACTCAAGATACAGTGCCAGTGATCATTTACAGAAGTTTGCAGTAGAATTAAGTTTATCTACCTTCCAAAATTCACAGCCATATAAAATTTTCACACTATCGCTAAACAGCAATCAAAATATGCGCACATCTGCACCTATGAATTCTCGCTTTTTAAGCTGGTAATTTAAAAATTCTTTTGTCCTATTCAATCAGGAAATTGTCATGCAGCATTTTGATTTATATAATAGATATAGCATATTAATAACAATATCTCATTTGTTAAAATTTCTTTTTGGTGAACCCAGATTTCATCCGAGTTCACCCTCGAGCCCCCTCCTGTGACATTCGCCCGGAGAATACATATCGACGGAAGACAAAACTAAGTCTTAAGACGACTGGCTAACGTCTAAACAGAGCTTTGCATGCTTTTCACCGTCTCTACCAAGCCAGTACTTTTCGGTGGTCTTTCTAACATCGGGTCGACAAAAACGTTACTGCTTTCGGCTTCGGTCAAAACACTCAAATTAACTAGATTACATGCAGAAATAGTGAGCTCATGGCTGGGTCTCAGTATCCCCAGACCACGAGGTCACTCCTAAAAACAGTAGCCCTTATGTAAACTTATTATATTACTATTGTTTTTGTTCAGTAGATAAATATCATCATCTCCATCGAAGATGAATCAACCCTTTCCCCCAACTCCTAGCTTCTCATCCTTATCAAAATGAATCTAGATG